AGATGAGAGACTATTATTAGATAAGAGGAAGGGAATAAGGGTGGGGAAGGTGGGTGTAAGGGAGGTTAGTGGGGGATGGATATGACCAGTACATGTTATAGGCATGTATGAAAACACCACTCTGAAACCCAATATTTTATACAATTAGTAGGCACTAATAAAAAATATAATTTTAGGGCCAGGGATTTAGCTCAGTGGTTCCACTGCCTGCCTCACAAGTGCAAGGACCCGAGTTTGATCCCCAGTACCAAAAAAAAAAAAAAATATATATATATATATATATATAATTTTTTAAAAAGACTATCCTTTCCCTATAGCACATCGCTGGCCATTGAGTGGAACATTCACACAAAGTTTCTACACCCTGCAAACCTTCAGAGCAGCTACAGGACAGGAAGCAGGAGATCTGCAGCACAAGCACCAGGAAGCACTCTGTACCTGTACAGACCCTGTCAAAGCTCCTGTACTGTTTGCCATGGTGGACTGAAGTTAGAGGCAGGGATAGGAGGGTATTGCAGCATTGCACAAGGGAAGCCAAGTTCTGTTCTCCTTGAGCCTTTCGCACCTCTCTCATCACAGCCATTTTCAGTGTCATGGCTAGGGACAATTCCTGCTAGGACTCCATGTAACAGGATTCATGGAACAAACTACAGTCCTCACTGCGCACCCGGTCTTGAAGCCACGAACAGGATAGCCTTCATATAGCACCCAACCTAGATTCCCTCACTTTCACCCTCACTTCACAAGTGAACACACTTCTAAAGAGAAGTCCTTGCTCCCCTGCCATCCTCCTACCTAATGTTATTCCTATGGAGTAACCATAGTAACCATGTAGCTGTCCATACCTTCCTTTTATGCTCATACATGTAACATACACATGTGAGGTGAAGATAACACTGTGCATGTAGTATGATCTCATTATTATGAAACAAAGGAACAAACAAAAATAAAAGAAAAATATACCAGTAGCTCTTATAGGTATATACAGAACAGCACGGCATACACATTCTTGTGAAGTATAAATAGGTCATTCTCCAGGGTAGACCATCTCAGTAGATTTCAAAAGACAAAAGGGAAGGAAAGGAAAAATGGAAAGAAAGGAAAGGAAGGGAAGGGAAAGGGAGGAATAGGAGAAGAGAAACTTATGACCAAGTGGTGAAAGATACATGGGACACTAAAAAATATTGCTGAAATAAGCAAATATGAGAGACAATATATAATAAAAATATAAGATATTTGTATAATAATGTTTAGAGCAACATTATTCATAATACTCAAAATGTGAAAACAACCCAATTGTCTATCAAGACGTGAATGCATAAGTGAAATGTTCTATAAACCAACACACAACGGAATATTATCCAGCCTTTAAAAAGAATGAAATTCTGATATATGACATAACACAGATGAAACGTGAAGATGTTATACTAAGTGAAATAAGCCAGACACAAAAGGAAAATAGTGTTACAATTCCACTCACCCGAGGTACCTTCAGTATCAAATCTATAGAGACAGAAAGCAGAACAGTGGTTACAGGTTGGGGTGTGGAGCTGCACCAAATTGATGAGCTGCAGTGTGGAGTGATGATAAAGTTACAGAGATGACAGTGATGATGGCTGCAAAACAGTATGAATGTACTTAACACCACTGAACTGTTCATTTAAAAATAATTAAAGTGGTAAGTTTTGTGTTATACAGGTTCTGCCACAATAAAAGATAGAAGGAAAGGAAAACTCCTCAATACTCTGCAAATTTTCAACCTCAACAATACATCATAACTATTTTCACAGTCAACAATATAAATAAATTTATTTCATCCTTTTTTGATATATCATAGATGTATTGTGTATATATATAGTGTATATATATATAGTGTATATATATATATCATAGAAAGGGTGTGCTGTAATATGTTTACTCCCATACTGATAGACATTTGCATTATAAACAAAGTTGCAATAAGAATCTTTAAGAAATTTATTATCTGTTAGTTCTATATACTGGCATCCCCAAAGTGTGATTATTGGGCCAAGTGAACAGAATATTTAGATTTTTCACTAACCTGTCTTTAATTTTGTTTATAGTGTGAAGCAAGAGGGAAGTTGTTCTGCATTTGTCTTAGACATAGATTTAGTTGCATGTAACAAAAACCTCAAATAGTTGTGACTGACTCAGAATATTTTTCTTTCACATAAGAGTCTGCAGGTGGGCATGGCAGGACCAGTGTGGAAGCTACTACATCAGATCACCCAAGAATCAAGCCTCCTTTCGGTCACTTGCTTTGATGGTTCACCACATGGTCCAAAACTGGCTCAACACCATGCTAGTCAGCAGGGGTGGCAAAAAGGAGAAAATGGGCACGTCCTCCTCCTTTCCAGACACACACCCGAAGACACCTGTCTCACTCTACTCTCAGCCCACTGGCCTGCACTTTACATATTAGCTAAAAGGCTAACAAGGAAAAAATAGTTCTTATTTGGCCATATGTGCAACTAGTGAAACCATGGCAGATGATGAGCAATTCTATGATAAGCTCTTCCAAAAGAATGGTCAATTACAGCAACAACATTTATGATATAAATGACTATTTCCCACGGAATTAAAATGCCATCCTTGTGTTTTCAAAGGTCCACATAAGGACCTATTTCTAGACACTTATTCTAATTTTACATTAAAATCGTTTAATAATAATTGTTAGCTGGTAGGTTTCTTGATTCTTTAGCAATTTACCTTTTGTCAACTATCTGATTGAAGCTGTTTGATTTAGATTATCATTACAGATAAAGTTATAGATGGTCAAATTTACTTTTTTGGAACCAATTTGTTCTAACACTTAGATATTATAGTTTGAGGCAGAGACAATTTTCTGAGTTTTGATTTTTCAGTATTAAGAAGCTTCGCTGGAGAAAAAGAAACCCTTCTTCATTGTTAATGGGAATGTAAACTAGTACAACCACTATGGAAAACTGTACGGAGATTCCCCCAAAAAATAAAAATAAAAATTCCATTTGATCCAGCTATTTCCCTTCTAGGTATCTTCCTGAAACAGTTACAGACATCATATTACAGTGATACATGCATAACCATGTTTATAGCAGCACACTTCATAATAGCTAAATATTGGAAGCAGCCTATATGTCCATCGACAGATGAGTAGATGAAGAAAATGTGCCATTTAGACACAATGGAATTCCACTCCATAAAGAAAAATAAACTTGAATCATTTGTAGGAAAAATAGATGCATCTTGATACCACAATGTTAAGTGAAATAAAACACGTAAGTGTATGCATCGTATGGTTTCTCTTACATGAGAAACCCAAATGTAAAAGTAAATGTCTAAGTAAAAGATAGATCATAGTAAGTAGACAGCTAGATCTTTTGCAAATGGAAAAGAAATCAAGACATGGAGGGAGGGGCACAAAGGGAAGGGAAAGAGGATGGGAAAAGAATTGAGATGTGTTATTTGGATGTTCCAATTCCCCATGAGGAATATAATCATCAGTATGGGCTGCAAACATGTTCCAATGAAAATTATGAAAAGAAGCATCCCTACCCAATTAAAAGGTCTCTCTTACTTGTTTCATGATCCTAGCCTATGAGAAAAATAAAACATGACTAAAGAGCTAGGCCACAAAAGAGATCTAATGACAGAGAACAGCCTCTCCCAGGGTGACAGGCATCTGGGACTCCACCTCATCATCCATTTCAAAATCCACCAGTTAATATTAGCAAGCACCAGGAAGAGGCCTTGTGGTTAAACAACTAAGGCACAAAGCATCATCCTTGTACTTGCTCACACTCAGGAATTTTGAAATGGGTGACAGGATGGAGCCCTGGATGTCTGCCACCCTGGGAGAGGCTGTTGTTCCTCACAAGATTCTTCTTAGGGGCGTTCCCCTCAGGAGCTTAAGTGGTTCTCTCTCGCAGCTCCTACCTGGCTCCTGCCCATCATGTACCCAAGGTGCTTGGCTCCATTATGCTTTTTAACTGATAGCACAGCCTCCTGGACTTTATTCTTTCCAGCCTGGTCCTGATCATTCCATTTTACAGAGGAAAGATAAACTCAGGTTAATGCCTTATGTTCCAAAGTGCCTTGCTTTGACTTTATAGAAAAGAAAAGGTAATTGATCAATTGATCTAGGCCCCGTGCTCTCCTTCGTGGTTAATACAGATCTGTTACTTGCTTTACAGCCCAAACACAAACATCATTTCCATGAAATCCTCAACAGTGAAATAAGCTAAAAGGTGTATTACAGACCTAGATGCTGGTATTAACCCTGACTGCCTCTCGTCCTCTGAGAAGCTGTTACTAGGCTCCTCTGCCAATTTCGAGGAGAAATAATTTAGTTAATGTTTTAACAGCATCAGGGGATGGGGAACAATGCAATGGTGCAAGAGGCCAGTGTCTTAGCTACAGACACTATGAAGACTTGTAGCATTTGATACTACAAAGAAAGTTCAGCATTCCTAGGAAGGAAGTGAGCCCCTCGGGGGGCAGAAACTTTTATCTCTGTGCCCCTAGGACAGTGTCCATCTGTCAGATTTGTTGTCAGATGAGCACATAGCAGATTTGTTGAATAAATGAGCAAACTATGTGACGTTCAAAAGTTAGCCAACAAGCTTTACCCAGAAAAACTAGATTCTGCTCCCGGATATGCCACAGGAGCGTCCCTCTGCTACAAGGCGATCCTCGCGCTCACGGTAATTGCTTGGCTGGGTAAGTAGTCTTCCGAGCTACAACCTCTATGCAGAGTCCTCCCCCCGTCCTGTGAGTGCTTTGCATAGTGGGAAATCACCCTGGGTCCACCTAGATGACCTAGGAACCTGCCTTTGCGAAAGCATACACCTTAGGGAGTGCCTAGGAAGGAGGCCGTCTCCAAGGATGGGTCAGGAGCATGCAGCTGGAGCGACTGACTGACCCGGGAGGCGGTCAAAGTGCCGAGGGCGCGGGTGGGGGGGGGGGGCGGGGCTCTCAGAGAGCCTGCACCTGCTCGGGCAACACTGCGCACTTGGGACCGGCGCGGCGGACTCCCAGAGGGCACACAGGTTAGACGCGTGCTGCGTCCGCGGACGCGGACGCGGAAGGGAGCACGGAGGGAATGCGGTTCGAGCTGGGCAAGAGGGCTGGGAGTAGGGAGTCCCCCCAAAAAGAGGCCTGGGACAGAGAGGCGCGCTCAGATTTGAAAGAAGGCTCAGACTAGGAAGAAGCACGGACATGGGGCGGGGGTCGCATGGGGAATCGGAGGAGCCTTACTCGGAGCGCAGCGCAGCCCGGCAGGCGTCTAGAGAAAGGTGTGAAGCCCTGGCCTCCGCCCCGCCCCGCCCGCGGAGGTGGCTCCACTGGGTCCGAGACCCCGACTTGTTTCCAGTCTGCCAGCAGCGTGGCCTTGGGCACTTGGACCCCTGCAGTCGCTCCTTATTAGCGCTAATCCACAAATACGGGAGCCAGAGACTGTCCTTAGAGCCAGGAAATCTGGTATCTAGTAATGCGAGGCGATTGACAAAGTCCCTCGGGCCATTTTTTAGCTTCTGCGAATAGCGCACGGGGCGGAAGCGCTGTGGGAGTCCAGGGAAGGAACAGCCATGAGTTGGCAAACCTTGTCCGGGTCCAGGGGCATTACCCTGGGATGTGATCTAGCCCGAAACAGAAGAAAGTTGGTGTTTCAGCCAGGGAAACCTGAGCTTTGTGAAATGCAAATCATTTTTTTAAATTATAGGGCAGCCCCCTCTCCTACAAGTCATAGAAGGGGCCATTTCCTCCACACTGCCTTCCCGGCCTGCCGCTTGCCTCCTCTTCTCCACCACTTAGGGCTCTGTTTGGCTCCTGACTGGCATAGCCTCCCAACTGAAAGGCTATAGCACTTACCTTGCAATTATGCATTCTTTTTAAAATAAGCAGTATGGTTTATTGCCCACGAGAAACGTGCCCCGGGGCCTGGACAAGGGTCCCCAAGTCACGGCTGTGCTCTGTATTCAGTACAATCTGGGTTTCACAGGCTGCAAGCACTAAGGCCCTAGCCCGCTTCAGACATAGCTCTTCACCACTGAGAGCTTCTTGCTTAATAACAACACGATCACTCTTTGTCTCCACAGTTTCTAGGAAATATATGAAAGTGATATTAAGGCTTTATTGGATAAAACGCCGTGATTTTACAAGGGGGAGTGCTGGAGATAAACAGAGAGTGAGGCATTATGTATGGTTGCACGGTATTTGATCTGGTAATAGAAGAGCCAGCTGTCCAATTTCCCACTTCCTAAAGAGCTTCAATTTCCTCTCTTTTCTTCCGTGGGAGGAGGAAACAGTGCTATCATTTGCTCATCCTCAGACCATGCACCTTTCCCTATACCTGTGGGTTCCTCCCTGTTGGTTGCCTTGACCACAGTGAAGTTATTGAATCTCACATGTGCTGTCAGGTGTTCCACTTAAGATCTCCCCATATGTTCTTGGTATGTCTCTGCTTAATCTTGGCATGTCTCTGCTTAATCTTGGCAAGCGGCACTTTCAGGTAGGATTACTTAGAAAGACTTCTGTTCATCTCCCCAAATAACATCAGCTGGCATGCTTGTTCTAAGTACAAATGTCACCTATGGATATAATCAAAAGATTGCCTCTTTTTTCAAATATTTGCTTGTTCAAAATGGGTAAGGGCAGTTTTCCTAGTCTCTGCAATTGTGAAACCTTTTCATTATCAGAGAATTGAAGTCAAGGACATGTCATCAAAAAACATTTGTAGGGCCAGGGATTTAGCT